TGTTCAATTATTGCTGTTATCAAGGAGCAATTTTCTCGCCTTGTTCTTTTTTTAAAAAAAAAAATTCTCGCGGTAGCCTGTAATCCTTGGGGTTCTATCGTGGATCATATTGTCATGTAAGTTAGTAGGAATGATCCTATATATAAGAATGTATAAAAATATTCTCACAAGTGTGTCTCTTCAAACCAAATTTGTTAATTGAGTGTATAAAAAGATAGCATCATGACCAACCAAGGATCAATTAATAAATGACAAAAGGTATTTTGATTGTCTCAATGATAATAAAAATAATATGTTCCCAAATTGATTTCCAGAAGATATTTGCTGCGATGATGATAGCATTCGTCGAAACAATAATCCTTTTTCCCTGTAAAAAATTTACTCCGTGATTAGTCTGTGTTTTTTCCGTTATTGAACTCTGTTTTTTCCCCGTTTATATATTAATAAATTAAAATATACATTTCCGTGTTTTTTTACATAAATTAAAATGTATCATATTCACGGAATCTATAGTTCCATTTTTCATAAAAAATGGAGATTTCACTGATATTAATATGCATTTAATTATTAAAATGGATAGAGTTCGGATAAATTGTTGAATAATTAATTAATAAAATGGATAATGATAAAGTTTGAGTAAATTTAATAAATAAATTTTCAAGTGGTCTACTAAATATGGCTTCTCAATTAATCGAGACTAGTTGCAGCACATGAAAATTGAATTGCGGTTGCAATTGTGGCATATGAAAATTTAATTGCAGCTAATTGCGTTTCCCATCTTTAAATGTTACTAACGTAAATTTTTGGAAATCACCCTTGTGATTTGACAGCTTTGAGACCATGTTCTGTTTGAATTGTAATTACTTGAAAGTAATGTATTAAGACTAGACTAGAAATTTTTTTAAAAATTGAAAGCATAAATAAATAGAAATCTTACTGCAGGTTAGTTTGCATGTTCCCTTTTCAAAAATAATTAAATAAAATATGGTCACGTAACAATTCTACACCAGATCTAAAAAAGTGATTAATAATTAGTGGTATAATGTTAATAAAATATGGTCACATAACAATTCTTTCTGATTTCGTTTAACCACTAACCTTTGGAAAAAGAAATCATGTAAATACCTTTTAATTTAATTATTACATTCCTAAATATATATAAAAAATATTAATATAAAAATAGATACAAAAGTAAATATTTAAAAAAAAAACCATGTTACCATTACTTGGGTTCATAAAACTAATTAACTAACACTAGATGAATGCTTTATCTAGTTGTATTATAGGCAAGTTTGATTATTTGAAAATGCCATATGAGTATTTAAAAACGCAATAGTTTTTTTCTATATTTTTGTATCTTGTTAAATGCTTGATCGAATTGAATGATCTTAGATTCAAAAGAAATCCTGAATTCTATTGTACATAATATTTAAAACTTATTCACATCAGGAAAATAAACCTTACGTAAACCTACGTAAGGTTCATAATTGGCCAGCATTGTGTCAAGATTTTGGTAATTCTGTTAACAATTCCGTATAATGCTGGCCAATTATGAACCTCACGTAGGTTTACGTAAGGTTTATTTTCCTGATGCATAGTTAATATTTAGTAATGTTGTTTAATATTGATTTTAAATCACAATTCGTTGACGCATTTTAATAATATCATTAAATATCTCTTTACATTTCTCTTCCTTTTTTGACGATTTGTATATTATTGTTGCTTGCTCATATTACCTAATTATTTTAATCGTTATTATTTATGCAGAAATAAAATTTAAAAGAAAAACTAACTGATAAAGTAGCAGAAATAAGAGAATGTCTTTTCGTACCAGCTGTCATGAACTAGATATGATTGGGATTTTAGACAGTTTGGAAAGGTGATTAATCATAGGATACTCGATGAAAAAGCTTCTGGTTATGAAATCTCATCAATGAATATGCACAAATTATGGAAACAAACACTGGTGACAATAATTATCTTTTTGAGCAATTCACAATTAAATTATTTTAACAAGAAGAAAAAAAAGAGAATAAGAAAATGAGAAACTTTTGGAAATATTTGAAAGTTACAAAAAATGATAAAGCGAATGAAAAAAGGCCAGTAACCCTAAAAAGAACCGGTTTATTTAAAAAAAAAATTTATTACTTGTTAACAGTGGATTCGTCAGAATATTTTTTTGAATCTATTTTTTGATCGCAAATGAATTCAAAGAGTCACATCACGAATTGAATGATAATAATAATTAATATTAACCATTCAAAAAAAAAATCATACAATCGGATATCTTTTTTTCAAATAAACATTTCCAAATTTAGAAATAATCGTAGATCCAGGGGAAGCAAAACATACGAATTCACGCCCCATTATAGTGTGATATAAAGAGAAATAATTTGTTTTATATGAATGAATATTGATTAAAATGAAATAAATAAATAATCAATTAACCCATTAATATATTGGAAGAGACGAGTTTTGTGGATGGACAGGAAATTCCAATTAGAATATCAATATATTAATTAAATTATTAAATATTCTATGCTCCTAATTTGGATAAATTGATGTATGGTTTTGGAGGGTAATAAATGTGAGAACGATCACGAGAAGAAGAACAAAGTATAGTAATAGATTCATTGCATGCATCTATAGATGTTATATATATATATAATTTTTATTAAATAATTAATTTATTTATCATTTATTAGAGTTGTCGGTAATCAAGCTCCCAAATTATACACACGCCCAGTCCATTCGGCAATAAATAACGTATGGATTTTTTTTATTCCTTCACGTCTTTGTTTTCTCTTACTCTCTCACGTACAAACATTATTTTTTCAGATGACCGACTAGCTATAACAATTAGTAATAAGAATTAGAAAACTTAAAATTCACATTAACAATAATAGTTAATATTATTCTGATTGTTTATTTATTTGTTTCCCACCCACAAAAGCGGACAGTTTGTTTTATTTTTAATATAAAATTCCAAAAATATATAGTTTATTTTAAAAATTTATATTTACCCCATATTTTTACATTTCCTAATTTGGATATAGTTATATGATTTAATTAATTAATTTTATCATTATGATTCATTGATTCATAATCTAAGGTTGTCTTGATCATCTTATCAATTAGATAAACATAAAAAATCGGTATTAAAAATCCAAATTAAGAAATGTGGATGAACAATAAAAATTATAAAGTTAATTAATCAATTAATTGCTTCGTATTATTTCAAGAGAATTATTTGTTTTTTTAGTTCCAGAGTTGGAACTGAGTTATGACTTGTCGTATAGAGTAACAATAATAATATTATTTATATTATCATACTCGTATATTAATAATAGTAATAATAATAATATTATTATTATTATTTATATTATCATACTCGTATATTAATTATTATTATTTATATTTATCATACTTGTATGTTAATATAATAATAATAATATTATTTATATTATCATACTTGTATGCTAATAATAATAATAATAAATAATAGCAAATTATTTTACCCGCAGTGTATATATAAATAATATTAATTTTAAATTTTTTTGCCAATATCCGAAAAAATGACGTACGTACAAATGATCATATTATTAATTTTTATATTAAAAATTCCATTTTTGAATTAATCAAATTACTTAAATTACTTTATTCAGTGATGTTACACGCAGATGTTTTTTATCAGATATTTGGCTGATTTTCTTGCATATATCACTGCATGAAATAATTGGTATGTTGTATGTTGTATTGACGAAACACTTGCTTGTGATTCAATCATGGAGATTTAAAGTTAATATTGTACTGATTATTTATTCCTAACCTAATATTTAATTGGCCAGTAATAATTTATTCTCAGTATGAGGAATGGTAATAATAATAACAATAATAATAATAATAATCATAATAATCATAAATAATAATAATAATAGTCGTAATAATTGGCTGCGAGTGTATTTTTTTTTATTCAATGATGATAATTCATCATTTGTTATTAATATTTTAACATAGCATTTCGTCATCATAATTTTTTGTGCGAGTGAGAAAATTTTTTTTCGAAAATTAGAAATTATTAGAAACAACGATAAATAATAATCTCACCACATGAAAAAAATAAACAAACAATTTAAAAAAAAAAAAAAAAAATCAGCAAGATAATCTTGAAATTATTTATTAATAGTTTTAGTTTAAATCGGAAATGTTCGAAATGTAATATAATAATAGTCAATAAAATATGTTTAATATTAACTAACGATTATGTGAATCTCATTTAACTTCCTTGTGTTGGTATATTATTAATATTAGCATCGGCCTGTATTAGTATATTATTTCCGTTGTTTTATATTCATTTATTTTCATTTTATTTTGAATTGAAATTGACCCAACTAAATATGTATATTATATTATATCAACACAATGCAACAATCAAATCTAATCATTTATCAAAGATCAAATCATAATTCAATCATAATATAGTGACCTTGTAAGGTGATTTGATTGGTAGTTTAGATCTGATAAGTTTCAATCTATTTTATGTAACGTAATCTAATATAATACTTGAAAAATGAAATATTGTTCCCACGAAATTAATATTTTTTTTTATGAATTAGGATTTATTATTTATTTACTGCTACTATTTATAAAATGTGCTCGGCCTTGCATATTTATTAGCCACACTTATAGGTGACGTATATTCATATAAATTCTTAAGAATCAGAGAACTAGATTATATATGCATAATCCCAAATTTAGACAATTTTAAATATTAAATAAAAAAAAAAAAGGGTTTTTTTTTCTACAAGCTTACAAATATAAAAAAAAAAAAATAAAAAAAAAATAAATTTTATATGTTCCTTTTAAAATCATGATATATTATGATATGTTATAACAATTTTGACAAAAATTTTAGACATCAACAGAAATCTACATTGAAGTTACCCCTCTCGCATGACAGAAAACTTTGTATTTATATATAAATTAGCCCTCTAGTAATTCTATGTACCATATTCAAACAGATACAAAGAACAAACACCTTCCTTATTATTCATTCTTCTCAAAAGGATGTGGGTTGCACAACCCCTGTATTTGTCATATAGGAATATTCCAATAAAGGTTGATCCTTCCAAATCTGTCTGTAATTTGAATGGATCAACCTCAATTATTTTATTACACATTCTCAACATGAATCAGGGGGTTTACAAAAGTTGTACAGCCGGCATTCGATATAAGGAAGTCACTAAATGGTGTGGTCAAAAAATACCATTCGTGAAATTATAATAAAAATAATTATTTACATATGCGCTGATTTTGTTTGAACCCCAAAATCCAGTACGGTATGATCATAACGTTATGAATACTTTATACTAGCAAAAACCCATTGGTTTTGAGGTGGGGCCATTGGTTTGACGGGTTGATGGATAGTAAATTAGTTTTTTTAGCGGAGCAAATAATTTGTTTTAGGGTAATTATCATTCTAACGACCAGTTTACACATTAAAAATACTCGTGTTTAACATTGAGACACAATAAGACATAAGGTTTGAAAAAAGGCCCAAAAAACCAAATCGGCTGATATGAGTGCATTCGGATATGTGGTTTTTAATTACTTTCATTGAATTAATGTGTTTAAATTCAAAAAGTAAGATTTTCAGATGGATCTTGAGGACAGTTTCTAAAGATTCTAGTACTTTTTTTAGTGACTCATCTTCTGACCCAGATTCGGCTGTTACTAATAATTCTTTGGCAAGAATTATATCGCTTGTAATTACTCTTTTTATTTGAAAGTGCTTATATCATCAACGCACTTTCAAGAACAGAATACTTTGCAGCTTTATCTTTTTGTCTGTTGGTATCATTAGGGTTGATGAATAACCAAATTTACCTTTATCTTTTAAAACGTTGCAAACAGTAGGTTCTGCAATTCCGAATTGTTTAGCCAAGTTCTTCATATCAACATGTGAATGACAGATTTCATCCATTAAATTCACAAAAGTCTGTTTTTTCTCGCCCCAAGTCAACTCCTTTCTTTTTTTGTTTGCTTGATCAATTAGTGACATTTTTATTTTTTTATTAAAATATCGAGAAAATAATTTTTAGCCGAAAATAAAAAAAGTGCATTTCCTAGTTCATTTATTTATAAGAAATTAATCAATTACAAGAAAATTGACGATACACTATTAAATTCAATCACTTTTGTTTTTTGCGACACATTATTAAGTTCAATTGATTTATTTTTAGCGCGACGACACATTACTAAATTCAATTACTTCCTTCCTTGAGCGACACATTACTAAATTCAGTTAATTTATTTTCAGGACAACTTGCTAAATTTTTTTCAAGATACTTTTTTAAAAAAATTTGTTGTGAAAAAGGTATCCTTTTTTGCCAAATTCAAAATTTTTTATTATGTAATATATACAAATTAAGTAACGATCTACAAAATAATTAAAAATCTAACTTCATTATAATAGGTTGCGCCCAAATACCCTCTTTGAATATCAAAATAAAGGTTCAACCTTTTGTGTTCATCCAGATATGGTGCGCAATTTTCAATAATACCCTACATCTGTTACATTAACTCCACCTATCATTCTTTTTAGTACAAGATAATCGAAAAAACTGTCGGCTAATGTAACATAAATTTTGAAAAAAAAAACTTTAAACCGAAAAACAATTAACCAACAAACAAAAAAAAGAATTTTCTTTTGAAATGTTGGTTTTTCAACTCGGCGTCAACGCACATGAATGTCATTGACTTGTTAAAATTGGAAATTAAAAGTTTTTTGTTTGAAAGACCAAATTCAACATTTTTTTTTATTCAAACTTAAAATAATTCCATTTCCAGAGTAATTGAAAAAATTACGAAAAGAGCAAAAGAATGTGTGTTAAAAAGTTTATTTTACTTTTTTTGTTCATAACATTTAAACCACTTTTATTACTATTCTTGTTGTGTTTGATTATAATAATGATAAATAATGTGGGGTAAAACTATCATTCTTGTGAGAAAAATAAATATTCGCTTTTTCACCAAATAAAATCATAATATATTCATATAAACAAAAAATAATGATCTTCTTCAATATAAACATTTTATATTATTTAAATTTTTTTTTATATATTGTAATTATTTTTTATTATTTTTACAGTAAATTGTATAAAAAAAAATTTATTTTATATTATATATTATACAATATATTATTAATTTATTATTGTCATTATGAAAATTATATTTTTTTAATTCAAAATTTCGATATAAATACACTTACCTTTCCTCGTCTTTTTTTTTTTCTTCACTTGCAAAAAGCAAAAAATCTAAATATCAAAAATAAAAAAAAGATATTTAAAAACAATCAAACAAATTATATTAATTAAAATAAAAATATATAATTTTAATCAAGTTAAATTTTTTAAATCTTTTTAAAAAAACAAATTTTATTTAAAAAAAAAAAAACCAAACGAAAATAAATGGCCCTTACTTTACAAACTTCAAACATTAATTCAGTATTCTCTCTCAGAAATAAAACCAAAAACTATAATAACGCTATTATTACCGTTAATAACAATAATAAACCTTCTTCACAAATACAAATTCCTTACATTCCACCAGAAATAATCAACATCATTCTCTTTCATTTAAAAGAAGACAAAAAATCTTTGGCTGCTTGTTCACTCGTAAACCACACTTTCAATCTTCACGTTACTCGATTTCTTTATTGCACAGTCAATTTCACTTTCCCTTTCACTTTTCAATTATTCGCAAAAGCAACTAACGAAATTTCAAATCGTACTTGTCAAATTCGTCACTTTGATCTTTCCGGCTTCTCGACAATTGGCCTACAAAAAAGTAACGCAACATACAAAAATATCATCAACCCTCAATGCATCATTAACATTTTAAGATTTTGTCCGAATTTGGCGGCCTTCTCAATCTCTGAGAGTTTGGAATCCACAATCACTTTCGAACTATTAAGCGTGCTATTCTACGAATGTAAAGATCTTAAAATGTTGGATTTCTGTGGATGCTCCAGCAAACAATTCGCAACAAATTTCACTAAACTTGCTGAATCGTTGGGAAAAATTAATATTACCAACATGATCAATAACGATGGCGATGATGATCAACAAGTGCAAAGATATTATCGATTTGAAAAAGTACCCAACAACAACAATCAATCATTGTTGCTTAATCATATCCAAAGAATCTCATTGCACGAATGCCCATCACTATCAGAATACTCTACCATTATTCCAATTCTTGCCCATATGCCAAACATTACTCATCTTGATCTAGGTGGTTGTGCGATCAGTGACGCTACATTGGAATTCTTGACCTACGAAACAAATGCAACAACATCTTTGACTGATTTATCACTTGCAAAATGTAAAAACATCTCTTCTCCAGCCATCTCCTCGTTCATTTCACAATGTCAAGAACTTGTAACTTTGAATCTCTACACTGATAAAGCTGTCCTCGCCTCCATAACAGAATATGATCTCATCACCATGATCAATAGCTCACCTTCCACCAAAAAATTAAAATCTCTAAATATCGGTTCAACAAACATCACTCCACGCGTTTTATACGCCATACAAGAATCAAGCAGCAACCTTAAACATCTAGGCATAGCCAAAGCAAATATCACAGACGTTTCCCAATTAACCGAATTCGTCAATTCGATGCCGTTACTTGAATACGTTGATTTTACTTCGATAGGTTGTCTGTCATTCTTGAACACCAACAATGGATTTATTTCTGGTCTTCGAAAAAACCATCCATTACACACAATTGAAATGTGCCATAATTTGTTGAAGAAATTGAGGGCTGTCGAAGGTTGGAAAATCAATGAAAACTACACCAGACGTTGGTATTACGCAAAAGATACTCCCAACAATGTCAGGCCTGATAGAGTCTATAGTAGAAAATTGGATATTACCCAATCTGGATACCAAAAAATGAGCAAAATATTTCAATATTATGCTTATGGCGTTTAATTAATTTTATAAATAATCAATGGACGTTAAATTTTATAATAGTATATAAATACATGACATTATAAATATATAAATACACACTCACACACTATAAATATATAAATACATAAATAATATAAAATATAAATATATTATGAACAATTTTAGAATTATTTTTAATTTTAGATTAATTAATTATTATTTATTATATTATCAACTAATTTTAAATTTCATCTTTAATTAATAATTGTATATAATCTGAGTTTTTTTATTTCCAAAATAAAAGTTTTATTGTAACAAAAACGTTTTAAAATTAAAGTTTTTAAGTTGAACAAACTATAAAGATTTCTCATTTGATTAACCAATCACACTGCTCTTCCAGATTATGTATGCATGAATAAACTTGAACATTAAAAAATGCACGTTCTCACCCAGCCCCAAGGTTTGATTTAATAAAGTCTCTTTGGGGCTAACTGCATTAAAATTTTACATATTAAATAATACCCGTAAGCAATGGAAAATATCACCACAATTTCCAATAATAGAATTTCAACTTCATGGTGTGTCATGTGTAAAAATATTAAATAAAAAATAAATGATTACTTTTGTTAACTTATGACTTTCTTCACCAAAATTGGCCAATATCGGCCGAAAAACTTGGTCAACGAATTTTATTGTAATTAAATTTTATCATATGCATATCAGTAGTATTTATCTGTGATGATAACGCATTGACTTTGCTTTGGTCGATTGTTTCTGAAATAAAAACATTCTTTAGTTTCTATTGCTTTTTGTCCAAAAAAGATTGGCTAATTTTTTAATATCGGTCGGTAGTTATGAAAAACTCACTGGACAAAAGTATCTGTCGCACACCACATAATAAATATTAATCGTTATGTGGCCTAGGCTTTGATAAATAGGACCTCGGACAATCATATTACATGCAATGATATTAATAATTTTAAAATTTTACATATCATTCTTTGCCAAATTTTTAGCACATCACATATCAAAAAACCAAATTTTACTCATTTAATGATATGGCATCATAATGGTTTAATATCTTTATTGAATTAAAAATGCAATACAAATGGATTAAAAAGGTGAAGATTGAAGAGAAATTGCAATTCATCAATAATATCAATAATTTTTTTATTGAAAAGGAAAAACTATTCTATATATGATTTCTTTGATATTCCCTATCGCCTGAATAATAAATTACAATAATTTTAATGTTAATGATTTTCTTATTATCCATTACTATTATTATATTAGTTATACTAATGGGTCCAGATAATAATGAGTCTTTTCAATTATAATCTTTAAAAATAATATAAGGTTTTCCTTATATTATTAAAACACCGAGTCATTTTTTTTATCCCACATTGGTGTCAAGTTATCCAATCGGAAATTTGTATCCAAACACCCCACCTTTTCAAATTGACACGATTTGGCTTTGATCCTCAATATTGGCATATGGCTTTTGAAAACCTTACCCAATATATTCATATAATAATAATAATAACTTGTGGTGCTTACCCATAAAAAAATCATGTAACATTACTCAAATTACATATGACTGGGCAATGTTGGAAAACTAGTAAACTATCTGCGGAATTTTTCAACGCAAATTTTTCCTACTTGAACCGTTCAAATTTAATTATTTGTTTTTTTTTTTTTGAAAATTAAGAGGAGGGAGAAATTTAAACAAACAAAATAAAATAACAAACACCAATGAAAAGCCTTCAATCACTAGGGTGATCGGCAGAGAAAATTATTTTTCCAAAAATGTTTTATCGCACACATAAGTTTCTCCCTGAATACAATTAAATTATGTGCTTTATATATAATTGTTTGAAATTTTGAGGAATGTTAAAAAAAAATTAAATTTTAAACGACCCTATTAATTTACTAATAAAAAATGTTTCGAATTTAAGGATCCCTTAAAATGCTATAGAATCCTTAAGGATTTTTTAAGATCCTATTACTATATAATTAAATCACTTTCAAAATTTCCTGTCACACTAAATTAATTTTTTTAGTATTAAAAAAATTTTCCAATAGCTATGTAATACATTTTCTTTTTTGGATCAGTAAGTAATCTTTGAAAAGGTAGGAGGTGGCTTTGAAAACATACAAGTTCAAACGTAATAAGTCAATAACACCAACCACTAAATAACAGCTATTATTGCTCAACCACCAGATTATTTTTAAAGTCTTTGGAGCATTGTTGTTATTTAATGTATCATTCATTATTATTACTAGTTTATATTTAAAAAAAATGTTAATGAGCAGACATAAAGATCCTTGAGCAATACAATTAGAACTGTTGGTTTATTTCATTTTACTTATTCATTCATTAAAAAGAATTTTATTAATACAGATTATTAACATTGTATTAATATTTGTTTTCTTCAAAAAACGGATCAATGGTTAAACGACTAATTATTGTTACGCAACAACCATCAAAGGAAAAAATATCAAAATACCTAATTGATATATATTATTAATGGTAACAGGTAATGATACTATTATTATTAATAATTTCTTCTATCGTGTTATATAACATTGTAATTAATTTTTGCAGTTGGCACCGCGCAAAAATTCTTTAACGGTTAATTTAGTCACGTGAATTTTTTTAGCTGGCAACGATAAAACGAATCATTTAACTGATAATAATAGTAATAGTATATGCTATATTATACAACATAGTCACTTGGGTGATTTTGCTGATCGTTTCTTTTGCCTATGATGATTTGATACACTATCCAATCCAATTAAAAAAAATTTTTCTCAACCAGCTTTATTTTCCTTGTAATGATAATAATAATAATAGTAGTTTATTTTTTTTCTACCAGCAAATAGTCCTTTGTTCATTATGAATTTGAGCATTCGAACTACATTGAATGTTTATTCGAATAAAATAAATAACTCAAATAACGAATAAAAAGAATAAATTCGAATTTAGTTTGGTGTCAACCTCTAATTTTGAATTTTATGTACTATTAATATTAAGGTAATACATTATTTTTTAAAAATGACCGTTATTCTTCCTGCAAAAATGATCAACAATGTCAGTGTCAAGCTTTGGTGACAGATATTCCTGATCAAATATTATTTCCAAGATGGTTTGAATCCATAGCATATTCAAAACAGTTTGCTCATTGTTGGTAAATGTTGCTTCAATTATTTTCGCCTGATTGATAATTATGCAGATCAATAAGCATAAACAATTGTTGCATCTCTGACCGCTGAATGTAATTTTTTAGCCTCGAGAGAATCTTCCCGATAATCTTGCGATGAAGGTGTTCCATTAGTTGATCATCATCAGTTAGCTTATTGTTAAAGTCATCTTGCGCAACAGCATTAACCTCGTATACATGTAATCATTTTCATTATAAACATCTTGCGAAACAGCATTAACTTCATCTAATATTTACATCAAAACCGTCTCTAGTTTCTTTTTATTGGGGGCGCTTAAAGACTGTCCAGTTTATAGATTATCTAAAATGTGAAAAATTAAATAATGGAAGAAATGAACAAATCAATGGCTGAAATAAACAAATCAACGGCTATGAAGGAATCAATAATGGCTGAAATGAATGAAAGAATCAAGATATATTGTGTGTGAAAATAAGCACAATAATAATAATGGTAATTTTGAATTTAACATCAATTTCTTTATATAGAAAGTACTATTACTGCTAGTGACTTCGTCACTAGCAGTATACATACGTGTATTTATTTATTTACAGCAAAATTTAAAAATAAAAAAAATCTTAACCATATCCCCAATATAAATGTATTCACATCCATATCCATAAATAAAAAAATCTAATTTTTCACAATAAAGCTCCTAATATGATATATATCGTTGTTATTGGTTGAAATATCATTTATATATTTGAAGAATATAGTAATATCACATTAGCATAAAATTAACCAAATGATAAATCTTATCCCTATTTTGGAAAATTGCACTTTAACTTTATCCAATGTAATCTCCAACCACGTATTTACTGCGAGAAATAAACATGAATTTTGAGATTATTATCTGCTTTTTTATCTTCTGCTACCTCCAACTTCCTTTTTTATCTAACTCTTCTTCTCGATCTATCTCTTTCACTTTCCACCCGATTTGAATTTTGTTGGTAATTTTTATAGAACCTATTCATCCCGACACAACATTGAGCATAAGGACTAATTTTATTGATTTCTTTAATAAGTTGTGCTAAACTCTTTTTCAAAGAAGGGAAAAAAAAATTGGATAGTGTTTAAAAATTCTTTACTGTCATGTCATATGACTTTTAAAAGCTTTACCCTGAATTTTCATATTTATTACTATTATTAATATTGTTACTATATGCCTATTTTGTAATCTCCAGCCAGAATTCGAATTGTAGTACATTATTTATAATCTACATACACAATTACGGTGTAATCTATAAAGCTATGATGTCCAGGAACAATATGTTGATGAGAAGCTTTCTTTAATTAATTACTCACAACGTCTTTTTACTTTCATTGTTTGCCCTATTAAGTCAAGCATCATCGAGTTACAAACTCGAATAATGAATGACTAAAAGTCTCTCAAGTAGGTCATGTAGAATATGATGGTGGATGAAAGTATTTTCATTGTTAGTATCTGTAACTTTAATATAGGCAGTGGCTGTTGCATTTCCAGGGTCACATTAATTGAAGGAGAGATTGAAGGATTCGTTAATAGTGTGGTGCAATATTGTTAATTGTAGATAAAGTAAGTGGGTTTTTTCCTTTATTCTATAAATAATAATAATTATTATTACAAATCAAATCAAATCAAATAAATTTCCATTATATTTTATCAATTATAAAATAAAATAATCAATTTTGTTGACCTAATAATTCAAAATTAGGTTAGGCTTTGCGCATTTGTGAAGAACAATTTACTTACTATTTTATTGGGAAAGTTTGTCTTCAGAATCAACGACACTTCTTCTATTTGTCTAAGGAACAAATAAATTCTATTTTTGATTTTAATC